GAAGTAGTTTGTCTTTTGCTTTTGGGGTGGGAGTTTGAGGTGGGGTGGGGATATTGGGGGTTCCAAAAGGTGAGAGAGAAGGAATTTAATTTCTGCAGGAAAAGGAACAAATTTAGATGCATGAATGGATGCAGACATTACCAGGATCTTTCAAACTGTATTGTCTGATTGAATTGCATGACCTACCTGAGCTCACTAAACCATTTCTAGCTCTGTCTACTGCTTACACCAATTGACTGCATTTGGTAACTCACTGTTTTATCACAAGTATTATATCAAAAAATAAATGTGTTTAATTTTACCTAAAATTGTATACAACTTTAATGGTAACTAAATAGATTTTATAGAGGTCAGAAGGGACCTTGTAGATCATTAAGTCCGACCCCCTGCTCTAGACAGGAAAGAGCGCTGGTGGGGTTAAATAACAGGTGCCTGTCTAATCTCTTCTTGAACACCTCCAAGGTAGGGGAAAGCACCACCTCCCTTGGAAGCCCTTTGCATATTTCGGCCACCCTCACCATAAAGAATTTCTTCCTGATATCCAATCTAAAGCTACTCTCCTTTAGTTTGTGGCTGTTATTTCTAATAACCACGAGGGGTGCCCTAGTAAACAAAGTATCCCCTATTCCCTGCTGTCGTCGTCCCCCCCCTCCCCCGCCAATGAGTTTGCAGACAGCCACAAGATCACCTCTCAACCTTCTCTTGTGGAGGCTGAAGATATTCAGGTCTCTCAATCTCTGTTCTTAGGATCTTACCTGCAGGCCCTCAACCAAACAATAGCCCTTCTCTGAACCCTCTCAAGGTTATCCACATCCCTCTTAAAGTGTGGCACCCAAAACTGGAGGCAATAGTCCAACTGCAGCCTGACCAATGCCACATAGAGGGGGAAGTATCACCTCCCTAGACCTGCTCGTGATGTACCCACTAATGTACGAAAGAGTGCAGTTAGCCTTACTTATTACCTCGTCACGTTGGCAACTCATGTTCATTTTTGTGTCGACTAAGACTCCAAGATCCTTTTCCACTGCCATAGTACTCAGAATGGTATTTCCCAGTCTATAGGTGTATTGGAGATTTTCTCCCCAGGTGCAGCACCTTGCACTTATCCTTGTTAAATTGCATCCTATTCTGATATGCCCACTTCCCCAGTCTGTCCAAATCCATCTAGATTCGCTCCCTGCTCTCCAGTGTGTTAACTGTACCCCATAGTTTGGTGTCATCTGCAAATATGGGCAGAGTGCTTTCAACCCCCTCATCCAAATCACTGATGAAGTTATTGAACAGCACTGGTCCAAGCACAGAGCCCCAGAGGACACCACTGCCCACATCCCTCCAGGGAGAAACCACCTCATCCACCACCACTCTCTAGGTGGGTCCCATAAGCCAGTTTTTCACCCACCTTACTGTGAAAAAAGCACATCACAGCTACTACGTTTGCTTGTAAGAATTGTGTGTGACACTGTGTCAAAAGCCTCTTTAAAGTCCAAGTAAATAACATCTATCTCCACCCCTGCATCTAAGCACTTTGTAACGTGGTCATAAAAAGAGACCAGTTTAGTCAGGCAGGAGCTGCCTGCTACAAACCCATGCTGGTTTCCCCTTAACATTGTATTACACGCTGGCCCCCCACAAATGTGATCCTTTATGATTTTTTCTAAGGTCTTGCCAAGAATAGAGGTGGGGCTAACCGGCCTATAATTACCTGGGTCCTCCTTCCTCCCCTTCCTGAAAATAGGGACCACATTGGCCATTTTAAATATTTTTAATTTCAGCATTAATTTAAAATACATTTTCTAGCCCTCATAGAAATGCTTGAAAACATGATCAAATTGGGTGGATCAAAATAGATTCATAGATTATAATGGGCTGGAAGGGACCTCGGAAGATCATCGGGTCCAGCCCCCTGCACCAAGCCGGAAAGACAGCTGGGGGTCAGGTGACCCTAGCAAGGTGACTGTCTAGTCTCCTCTTGAAGATTTCCAGGGTAGGTGGTTGCACTGCCTCTGGAGGGAGTTCATTCTACAGTCTGGCCACCCTGACTGAAGAAGTTTTTCCTAGTGTTGAGCCTGTATTGATTTTCCAGGAATTTGTGGTCATTACTCCTGGCTTTCCCTTCAGGTGCCCTGGTGAGCGGTTGCTCACTGAGCCCTTGATGTACTCCTTTGGTGTAGCAGTAAGCTGCTACCAGGTCCCCTCTCAGCCTTCTTTTCCTCAGGCTGAAGAGTCCCACATCCGTCAGCCTTTCCTTGTATGACTTGCCTTATAAGACTGATCATATGGCTGACTCTTCTTCAGACTCTCTCAAGTTTGTTCACGTCCTTGTTAAAGTGTGGTTCCCAGAACTGGATGCAGCACTCCAGCTGCAGTCTCACCAGTGCTGAGTAGAGCAGAAGAATCACCTCCTTGGTTTTGCTGGAGATGCATCGATTGATGCATGCCAGACTATTATTTGCCCTACTACCTACAGCATCACACTGCCAGCTCATATTCATCCTGTGGTCTATTATTACCCCAGGTCCCTTTTATTTGTGGTGCTAGTCAGTTTGGTGCTGCCAAGCCTGTAGGTGTGTTGGGGTTTGCTTGTCCCGAGGTGGAGCACTTTACATTTCTCGACATTGAACTTCATCAGGTTCTGATCCACCCAACCTGCTAGCCTGTCTAGGTCCACCCGTATCTGTTGCCTATCTTCAAGTGTGATCACGCTCCCCCATAAGTTGGTGTCATCGGCAAACTTGGCCAGTGAACTCTTTACGCTTGCAATCAAATTGTTAATAAAGATGTTAAAATGTACTGGACCAAGCACTGACCCCTGTGGGACACAACTGCCCACTTCTCTCCAGGATGACACAAATCCATTCGCTACAACTCTCTGGGTTCCGTCCTGCAGCCCGTTTCTCACCCACCTGACTGGCTCAGAGTTAAGCTCACTATCCTCCAATTTTCTTATGAGAACATTGTGGGATACTAGATCAAAGGCCTTTTGGAGGTCAAGGTATACATGCCAACCCTGCTCTCTTATGTCCAGGTGGCAAGTTACCTGGTCATAAAAGGAAATGAGGTTTGGAAGGCAAGACATGCCCGTGACGAAGCCATGCTGACTTTCATTCAGAATCTTACCTTCTGCAAGCTTATCAGATATTATATTTTCTAAAAAATCTCATCAGTTTTTAGCCAATTGCATTATTTTTTGGAGGGAGTTGGGGGAGGGGAAGGGGCAATCTCAGTTTGAATCACTTAAATTACTTGATTACTGTTCAGTGGGCACATCTACATGTGAGCTTTACTGCAGAGTTGTCTAATTAGCGCCACAGTAAAGCATCAGCATTTACACATGCACCATTATTAGAGCACATTAAATTAATTAATTCCACCTTAAGATAGTACTATTGGGGTTAGAGTACTTAAGTCCACTGAAATGCACATGTAGGTGGTGATGTGCTAACTGAGGCACAAGGATGCTAACGTGGGAGCTGCCTGCTGTTTGGCCCTGCAATTTAGCACCCTCCTGCCCCACTCAGTCCCGCTTCCATGACCACCCGGAGCCTGGGGCTGATCCCCCTGGACCTCGGCCAGCCTGGGGCTGCTCTGCCTTGGCTCAAACTGCTTTGGTCCCAGGAGTCCATGTAGATGCTGCACCCAGGAGCAGCTGACTCTAGTACAAACTATGCTGGAGTTTATTATGTTGCCTTATTGGCATGTGTAGATGCCCTCAGTTAGACTTGCCCATTGGTTTTGTTACATGTAATCTATGGCTGCATCTCTGAGTAGTTTTGGTCTCTGAGTTAACGTGGACTACAGGTAACACTTGTGACCCTTTCTACATATCTCAGCCTTTGGGATCCTGATATGATTTTAAGAATGTAGCTGAGGCCTCTTCCACTTTTTCCTGCAGAACTACCTGTTTTTCCATTGCTGACTCTGAGCTTCAAGAGGAAAGAAAAGGCAGCAAACTGGGTGAATAAGTTCCACCAGGTTTTCTGCTTTCCATCAACCACTTCCTCTTCCTCCTTCATGTAAGGAAGAAAAGTGGCAGATCCCTTGCTTAGAAAGGTGCTGAGAAAAGCTTTAGGGTCTGGGGAGTCTCAACCGTTGCCAGCAGAGCAAGTAGAGGGATCAGGTGTCTATGTAGGAAGGGTCCGTGAATTGTTTTCATATATACAAATATTCCTTCTTCTGCCTTCTCAGCAACCAGCTCTAAACATCTTTAGGGAACTTCATTTAAAAAAATATTTTTCTTCCAAGGCACGTGTCTTTAGGATGAGCTGGGAAAATGTGCTCTACCCTTTCTCTCTGCCTTTTTTCAGCTCCTGCTGCTCTTAACAACTTTCAGCAATAAAAATAGATTTTCAGACCTGGTCTTAGATTTTCTCATGTGTAAATGTAAAGTTGGGTTTGGGGTTTTTTTCACATTGAAGATAGTAAAAATGAAGAATACCTGTAAATATTTAAAACATTTATGCCTCTTTAAGATTATCTGTATTCCAGATAGTTGAAGAATCTGGAATAACAATTGTTAAATAATTCTGTCAATTTACACTGCAGTTGAATCTCATGCTTGAAGAGCAGGAGTAGAAAATGCCAATGGAAATATAATGAATGTTTGTACAAATCAAAAAAAGTATCTCCCATGTACTGCCTGATTTGTCTGCTGTGGATATTAGATGATAATCAGTAACCAAATCAGATACCTGAGTTTTAGGATTTCCAAGTTAGAGAAAAGTGTGCAGAAGAATATGTTGTGTCACTAGTGTGGTTAGCAACAGACATTCTTATTTTTTTTAGTTGCTTTTCTTTTTATTTAAATTTCAGGGAATAAAACACAGATACATGAAAGAAGCTGAAACAAATATTTGTTTTGTCACATTGTATGCACATTTTATTCATAGTGTTTTCAGGCATATAGCAAAATGTATTTTGCTTGTGTTTTTTTAAGATTTATTTTAATCCAATTTTGTTGTTTAAACAAGGTATATAATTCAGTTGCATTTTTTTTCCAACAGATGTGGGAAGAGGCCATTGCCTTGGGCAAAGAACTTGCAGAACAGTATGAAAATGAAATGTTTGATTATGAACAACTCAGTGAACTGCTGGTAGGTTTCTTTTCACTTCAATTTAAATTAACAGACATTATATATTGTTTTTTGGCAGAATTTCCTTTTTTAAGGTTTAAAAATAATGAAAATTCCTTTAGCCTCCATTAAACTAACTAAGTGGGAAGGATGATGTACTTGATCTTTTGGGGCACATGTTGGCTGGCTTGCTGGTCATTTAGTTGGCCATCTTTGGCACTCACTTAAATGGAAGAAATATATATGTTTTTTACACTGGAAGAAAAATGCTCTGATCACAGTGGCTGCTTGCAGACGTAAAAAATCAAAAAAAGTGTTTTACTTTAAACTCCATGTGCTCCCATGCCTATCCCAGTGCATGTGCAAAAGAGGCAGGGCAGTATGTCTCTATAGATCAGGAACTTCATTGGGGTTTTTTTGGTGCTTTTATCTAATAGCCGATTGAATCAGCTTCAGCTAAAAGTGCCAAAAAGCCCCGCTAAAGTGCCCAGTCTATATAGACACTTAGGAGCTGGGTCGAAGTAACGCACTGCTTCTTCTTCTCCTTTTTTTTTTCTTTAACGCTGGCAAGCAACCATAATTCCTTGATTCTTGTGGTTAAAGGAAATATGCAGTTTTAAAATAGGACTCTGTATTTAGTAAGATAGGTACATGACCATTTCCTATTTTTCCTTGGCCTGTTGAAAGAAAGTGGAGAGACTTCAGATTTTGATAGAAATATTTCAAAATTTTTAAAGTTCCTTAACAGTAACTTTTGAAATTGCAGCTACTTAGTAACAGTGAAGTGTCCAGGATGGATTGTAGGGCTAGATACCAGTTTTTACCTCTGCTGCTGACTTACTGTTTGTTATTAAGGAAGTTGCATAATGTGGTGTTTTACTTGGAAAATGGGCCTAAAATGTAATGCCATGTATTTATTTTTTACTGATTTAACCAGGGCATGAATAGTATATTCAGAAGGGATTTCCAGGGTCATCTGATGCAATCCCCTGCATAGATGTAGCATTTACTATTCCTATATGAAGGGACTGTGGAAAACAAGTTGTAGGCTCCAGGAATTCATGAAAAAAGTGTAAATCATTAGTCTTCTGGAGTTAAGTGTCCTGATTCTACTCTGTACAAGTGGTTCCAAAGTTCTATTTAAGGAAAATTGCAGCTCCAGTGTTCATTTTCTGGTTCAGCTTTTCTTTGACATCCAGTTTTCACAAATTTATAATAGATCCCATCTACCAAACGAAGAGTCACAGTAACTTTTATCTCCTAACTAGAATCTAGTTCAAGTGCCTCAGGAGATAGTTAAATGTCTTAAATTTTAGCCATGTTCTGAATTCTTGATCTTAAAGTAAAACCCACCAAGAACTCTTCAATCCCCTCTTGAAATCAAATCTGCCTAGGAATCTATTTCTGTACAGACCCATGAACGGAATAATCGAAGTAAAATTAGCTGCATTATCTTTCTGAGGAATGATATCCTTCGCCTGCTTCAGATGCTACTTCTGTGCCTTGAAGCCAGCTAAAGAAAAACCATGTCTCGCAATGCATTCATAATGTTTTGTAACCATTTCACAGAGGTCTTACTTTCATATGATAATCCTAGGTTTCAAATCTAAGAATTGTAGAATGGCATGGTAGAGCGGCCCTGTGAATGGCATGTGTATCACAATTTGCATTCTTGATGTTGTAAAATGGGTTCCGGCAGGCAAAAGCCACTTGTAGTCCAGCATGACAGACATGTGTAGCCTTACATGAGCCATACACCAGAAAGTTCAGACTTTTCTATGGCTGTGGAAAGAAAAAATTGTATAATTTTAAAGGAGAATGAAAGGAATTTTATACCTCATGAGCTTGCCTTAGTTGATCCATTGTAACTGTTTTGTCTATTCAGTCCTGTCCTATAATAAGTGAAACTAATCCACAGTACCATATTTACTCAAATACAAGACGAGGTTTTTTTCCTCCAATCAGCATGGTGTAAAAAAGCCCTTGTCTTACATTTGCATATGAAGAAACCTCATTAAATACATTGTCTGTCATTAAACTGCTGCCAAAAGCAGCATGTGCTCAGTAATGGAAAACAGCTATCATGTCATTAAATGCAGCCAATAAGCCAAATGAGCATGTCTATAAAACACCTGGCCCATATTCGGCAAAAATTCTGATGGGAACGTTTTTTTTTGATGTGGCCCTTAAGTGGGCAGTTGTCGCCCCAGGAGGGAACAGGCACCAGCCTGGAGGTACTATAGTGCCAGGGTGGCACTCAGAGAGGCTAGAGCAAGCCCTAACACCTGATGCAAAAATGCTGATGGGAACTTACCACAAGGATAAGTTAGTGCAACCCATCTGAATAAGATATATGGTAGTGCCCATTGCATCCAGTTCCCTGGGCAGTGACTCTTTGTCATGTCATGGACATTGCATACCTTTCGACTTCTGCACTCCCACAGCTGAACTGAGCCTTCTTTCCCATTTCCAATTATTCCTGTTTTTTCACCAGCCTTAAGTGTCTGGCAAACATCACCAAACGGGGTCCTAAGTCCCTCTGTCACCCCCTCTCTCAGCCTGTTACATATGATTAATGTGGCTCTGCCCTCCATGAGGTGCAGCCACACCAGATTGCCCTGGGCCTTGTCTACATATATTTTTAATCTTGGGACCCATGACAAGAACAACTGCTTTCAGCCATGAGTGGAAAGCTAATTAGTACATGGCTCTTTTGTAGGAATACACACACTTACTGACCAGTGTTGAGCTGAGGTGTCACCAGGGCTCGAAATGCTGCTGACTGGTGGCACCCAGGCCAATGAACTATAGGGTAAATTATGATTTATTTTCCCTGGTTTTCCCAAGATTTATTTTTCCTGCTGTAATAGTGGGGGGAAGGGAAACAAATTCAAGGCAAACCTCCAATAATTAGTTTCCACACCCAGAAAATTATAGCAAATTTATAAATTTTCCATACATAGAATCTAATTATTGGGGGTTATTTTATAATCTGGGTCATTTTATATTTGAGTAAATATGGTGAATTATCCTTGATTGAAACAGGCAGTAAATTATTGTGGCTTAGCTTTCAATAACTGCATGATAAAACAAACAGATAAACAGTTAACTGTATTCATTTGAAATACAGTAGTACCACCTCTTAACCTTTTTACCAACTACTCAGTTGATCTAATAAAAGACAGCACTACTACTCAGAGAACCTTGCCTTTACACAGCCATGAGGTTTTGCATAAGCAAAATGTAAAGTTTTTTTCTGAGAGCTGTTTGGTGACAGATCATAAAGTCCATAAGACTTTTTTTACATGACTCGGAGAGATCAATGCAGCTCTTGAGTAGCTCAGTGGAACTATTACTATTGGGCTAAGGCAAACAATGCTTTTCCAGGAAAAACCTGCCACATGGCCCTCAGCATGTACTTTTATTAAGTTTAGGATGTAAAAATAAAAAGTAAAAAATAATTATTCTCCAATGAAAAGTCACTTTCCCTTCACAGTTACTTTCTTTTCCCGCTGTTTGCATTTTAACGTCACTTTTTTCATTGGAGCAGTCGCTGTTAATAGAGGGTGCCTTTACACATGCTCTGGGGCATGGTGGGATGCTTTAATTAGAGAGGCTCACAGTAGAGCTGCTAGTACGGTGCTTAGGGCATTTAACAGGTAGATCTATAATCATGCTACAAATCAGACAGTTCAGAATCTTACACCTCAATTTCTCATGCTCTAAGGGCCTTTACTAATGTTTGCATGTGCTTGCTCTCCTTGTTTTGTCACAAATGGATTGACAAATCTAAGATTTATCCTAGTGCAGGACAGGAAACCTTTTGAAATCACAACATTTTTTACAGGATGAGAATTTTTTTTCCAACCCAACTCATTAAATTCATTTAAAAATTGTGAGAAATATCCATGATGGTGATGGTAGCCATGAATGGATGGGCGGACTGCCACTTAACTGACATCTATCCGTCCATCTATCTAATAAATCCCTCCAGCCTTCAGTGGTGAAGAAGCAGTATACTAGATACACATCGGAAAGAGCTTATTGTGCTTCATCAACCCATAATTTCCAGAATCACCCTGTGAGATAGGACACAGATTGTGGATCAGACTGCCGCAAGTTAACATGAGGCAGGGACTTACCACATTTACTTGAATCCAGTATGAGGTATTTTCCCCTATTTAACATGCATGGCAGGAGGGGGCTGGGGCTGCAGCTGTAGCTGTGGCCACAGCCCTGAGCCCTGACCCAGGATTAGGGCTGTAGCCACAACTGCTGCCTACCCCCCAAACACCTCTGTGCCCTGGTCTGCCCCCACCACCTCCACTACTTACTCTCCAGCCCAGAGCAAAGAGCACATGCTTGCCTCTAGGCCAAAGGATAGCCTGGTAACAGCGGTTGTGGCAGAGGCAGCTTTAGCTAGACCCTAGAGCTCAGAATGGAGCTGCTAGCACTACTGACACTGGCTAGGACTGGGGCTGGAGCCAGAGAATAAGCAAGAGAGGATTGGGGTTGAGGAGGTCGGTGGGCAGGCATGGGCCAGAGTCTGCAGGAGGGCTGGCACCAGGGGAAGCAGCAGTTGCCAGGGGGTACAGGCATGGAGGGGTAAGCATCAAGGGGCAGGAGTAGGTTGCTTGACCTCACTCCCCTTCTACCTGCCTCACAATCTTCACCACCTGTCACCCCATTGCTTGGCCCCTTGTCACTGCTTTTCTTGCTGCAGCGGTGGGGGGAGAAAATTTAAGACATCCCTTCAATAATTACATTCTGTGCATAGAAAATTATAACAAATTTATAAATTTTCCATGTATAAAATCTAATTATTGGGGGGTCTTAAATTCAGAGTCATCTTGGATTTGGGTAAACATGGTGTCACAGAACATCTGCCGAGTGGTAACTGTTCAGGTGCCCCACAGTTGTCCTGAGTAAGTGAAAACTAACCTGAGGCAACTGAGCCTTGAATAAAATGTCTTCCAACCAGATAAAAAAGGATGAATAAAAAAAAAAAAGAAAGAATTACTTTAGCTGCTTAAAACAATGAATAAAGGAAAAATAGAAAGCTGAGTAAAGGAGGATGAATAGATAAGGTAGAAAGATGAATAAAGAAATACGTGCATGCATGTGCGCATACACACACATATATATTATACATAAAAAGGGAGAGCGTGTGTGTGTGTGTGTATTTCTTTATTCATCTTTCTACCTTTATCTATACACACACAGGCGCACACAGACACATTTTTGTCCTCCAGATTGTGTCTGTGAAAGACATTTTAAGTTAAATGTTATTTCTGTTTCCCTTGCAGAGAAAGCAAGCTCAGTTCTATGAAAACATTGTAAAAGTGATAAGACCTAAACCAGATTACTTTGCTGTTGGATACTATGGCCAAGGATTCCCTACATTTTTACGGGTAAATATGAATTCACTGATTAGAAAAGATTCTCTTTTCCTTCTGCAAAAGATATTGCCTTCAATATAGAGCATCACTGGAAAGTCCAATTCATTTGTAAATAGTAATCTTTTTGTAGTTATGTGGAGCAGACACTGGCATTTTCTTTTCCCTTTTGATCTAGCAGAATTGTATTAAAAGGAGCTTTTCTTTATGGCATATTCAGTATTTTATAAATATTTAATTTTCAAATAATTGGAAATGCAGATATATAACCCTCAAATTCTGAATCCATATGACTGACTGTGCTCTTGACCCAGTGCTTTAATACAGTGGTACAAGAAATGATTGTTGGAGAGAAAGGTTTTCTACTTCTGTAATACTAGAAGGTTGAGAGAAGTTTAATATATTATTCTTGTCTGAACTGTACTTTAAATTTAAAGTTATATCTAATAACATTTTTCTACCATCTTCTGAATATGTGTCACAAATGTTTACTTATCGTATATCATAGTTAATTTGCAGACTCAAGCAATATTCTGTAGGCTTAACAAAAAAGAATTGTAGGAGTTGTAGACATGAAAATAGTTCCATTGTAAGTATGGTACTAAAATGATACCTAACTAATCAGGAACTAGAATGATTCCCCCTTCCTAATTAAACTGTTTGAATCTAATGAAAATAAAAAGATCTTATAAAGATCAATAAGCCTCATGCCTTATCAGAGCAGATTGTCCCTATCATACATTTTCCAGGGCTTTGGACATTCTAGTTGCAAATGTTTGTTTTTATTGTTCTACGTATGTGAAACATTAGTTCATTTGAGACCCTGAAACTCAATTGCCTTCTCAGAAAAGTAATTGAATAAACATTTTATAATATTCCTGGAGAACAAAACCACTGAGAGGCTGTGATTAACAGTAATCTTCAAAACTATAAAATAAAATATATCAATAAGTCACTGATAACTTCTCAGAGGGTATTATGTCTCAGATTTATTGTGAATGTATGCAAACCTGTAATAGAGTGCACATTACCCCCTATGGACTGAGTTACCTGTCAGTGATTTAGAGGTGCTAAATACAGCTGTGTAGAGCATGATTATATTGAGATCACAAGAGGCACCGAATGGAATTGACAGAGGGTTTGCTCATTCCGCCTCAGACTCAACTGTATTTACATTCAGGAACTGTACAGAGAGTACAACACACAATTTTCCAGTTGAAGCACTATGTTATCTGTATATTCAAAGGAATATAATGCAAACTAAGAATAGAGTTAACCAGCTATATTAATATTGAACTGATTTTCTTCTTCACAACTGAATAATTTTGGTGTTACTGCGGCAACACATTTATTATGCTTCACAAATTGTTTGTCAAGGGTCAGTTTGTCTTCTATATTAGCAATAAAAACTGTAACATTTGGCTATTAACTATGCTGCTGACAAAGTTCTCAGTACATGCATCTCCTAGTATTCTTTCTCTTTGAGTTGAATTGAATTATTCATTTTTTATACATCTGTCTTCATATTTATTTGCTTAGATAGAGATAAATATTATTTTGGCTGTTGTCAGTTTGAAGGAGCAGTATTGCAGAACCAAACCTAATTGACTATTAGAGAAAGTATTAGAGTACTTTGCCCATAAGCCATTGTTTTTCTATTAAGTGTATTACTTTTTTCAACAAGTGTTACTTCTGAGATAAATAATAAATATAAGATAAAGTATTTTCACATTACGGTGTTATTTTTCTATCAAAATTTATTTTAATGCTGGTCAGTTTAACTCTATAAACTTAAGTCCTCCTATGTAATATGCTTGTTGCTGGAATTAAGTATAGCTGTTCAATTCATAAGTCAGAGTAGTTGTATGCAGTTTATCTTTAATTTGCTTCATTCTTAGTGACAGATCAATATATAGAAATACAGCTTACTTAGCAGTAAGTAACATAAAAGATGTTATTTTCCAATGACCAAAATATTAATATATGTGTATTTGATAGAATGAATATGTTTCAATCTTCTTAGATATATTAAGTCAGATGTAATATCTTTGGCTTTGTGTGAAGTATGTTGCGCTAGAGTTAAGATAAGATGCGATCATTAGCCTCTATATCTGTATAGGTTACATAGAACTGTCCAACCAGATGTAAGGAATCCCTAGTATGCCTTGCACACTTGTTTCAACAGATTTTTTTTCTTGGTAATGTTTAGACATATTAAACTGAAGTCTACTCTAGTTAGGGGGACAGTGGATGTCCACGACATTCAGGGCCGCACCCTAACACATGATGTTTTACATAAAGCACTGTGAGTTAGTCTTGTCCCCCCAACCCAGCAGACATTTGCCTGTTCAGTTAGGGGCAGCCATGGCCAGCAGGTGAAGGTGTTCCAGCATCCTTGGAGGCTGCTGACCTGCCCCTCTCTCCAGCCCTGCCCCCCAACCCCTCAGATCCAGGGGACCAAGAGGGAAGGGAGCAGCACAGAGTTCATTCCACCCTCCATCGCCCTCCAAATCAGGCCAAGCAAAGCAGCTGGCAGCTGCTGTTGTCCCTTTCAAAAGGCCCAGCCAGAGCTGGGGGGTAGGGGAGTGGAATGGAGCCCCCTTGCCTCATGGACCCAGCCTGGTTCTTCCAAATACCCCATCCAGGGTAGCTGAGGACAGGGCCTCTGAGGCAACCAAGCCCTGTTCCAGCCCCCACCCCTCCAGCTCAGGCCAGGCAAAAGCCAGCTGGCTGCTCCTTTCCTCCTTCCTCACCTGCTGACCACCCCAGTGACTCTCTCCAGTCCAGCCCCACCCCGTGTGAAAAAGTAACCCGCGAGGGAACACAAGTTCCCTAAGGTACTCTAAAGCAAAGTGCCTTAATCTAACAACTGATTTGACAAGAGTTAATTTTTTTTGTGCAACTGGCTATTTTAAAAGCACTCTGCAGCTGTGCCCATGTGTTGTCAGGGCTGTAGGGTGCTTTCAGGGACCCTGTCGCATGAAAAATGTAACTTGTGTAAGCACCCTGTATGTCCTGTTTTTGTTGGTACAGTCATTTTTTTAAACACCTGTCCCACGCATCCATTCATTTTCCTCCATGTGCTCAGTGGCGACATGGAGTTCAGACAGCAGAGTATGCCAGAACTGGTGGAGGCAGTGAGGCATCTCGTTTTGAACCTAGGAATCCTTGGTCACCCTAATGCTAATGCTTTTTTTTTCAGTTTCGGGGGGTTTAGGTATAATGAAGATTAGAATTTGGCCCATACTTAAAAAAAAAAAAAAAAAAAAAAAGCAGCAACATAGGAAGAAGAAAGAAAAAGCAATCACTCATACAGAGGGAGGGAGGAAGGGTACTTAAGTGTTTAATGTATGCTTATCTGTTTTTCAGAATCTGGGTTTTAATTATTTGCTATAGGCCTTTATTTAACAAAACAATTAAACAGTTAATCCAGTGTTTTTAAACCCCATTGCCTTAAATGGAAATTAAGCACATCCTTAAAATGTGTGCTTAATGGGTTTAAGCACATACTTAAGTAGTTTGCTGTTTGGGAGCCATAATACAAACTAACTAATGATAATCATGTTGTTATAAACTAGAACATTTTATACACTTCTACCTTTAGTAGCCAGCATTTGCAGAAGCTTTCACATCCTTTTTCTTAGTTGTGTGAACATACCCTGAATATTACTATATGAATTTCACTGCACAATTTATTTTCAGAACAAAGTGTTCATTTACCGAGGGAAGGAGTATGAACGTCGTGAAGACTTTGAAGCAAGGTTACTAACCCAGTTTCCCAATGCAGAAAAAATGAAGACAACATCTCCACCAGGCGATGATATTAAAAATTCCCCTGGACAGTGTATCCTTGGAAATTGCTGTGTGCATAAACTCATATAAATTGATCAGACTAAAAATGTGTAAATGTGGCTAAGACTGAATAGGTCTCTCTGCTGTTTGTTTTTATTGGTATTTACTGTTCTTATGCCTGTTTCTAGATAGTTACAGACAATTCTTAAAGCAAGGAACATTTGCCAGTTGATCTTTCCTCTCCTGCATAATTTAAATTGTGCCATTTCAATTCTTAACCTTCCAATTCAGATATTCAGTGCTTTACTCTAAAGCCAAAACTTGATTTACCACCAAAATTTCACAAGCCAGTATCAGAACAAATTGTAAGGTAAGTTTTTTGGTTACATCTACATTTTTATCAGCCTGGATAAATCATATGCTTAGAAAATGGTGTGTGCACCTGTGTGTGTGTGAGTCAGATTTTTGCAAACAAGTTTTTATAAGCAGGTATTGGAGATAACACATACTTATGCAAAGAAAACAAACTTCAGGTGGCAATAGATGTGCCTAGCTAACTCAGCTCAGTCCTACTCTATGGCTGTGGATCTAAGGTACTATCAGAACACACATAAACACTAATCACAATATAACTTTAGTTCTTTGAGCAGGCTCCATGCCTAAGCAAGAGTTCTGTGGTATGGCATGATAAATGTTGTGCTATTGTAGCCAAGCAGGAACCATTTGACCATGGTAGATCTGAATGTTTTACAGGACCTGGAAAGAGAAAAAAGTGTGTGTGTGTGTGTGTGTGTGTGTGCGCGTCAGGACCTGGAAAGAGAAAAAAAAGTGTGTGTGTGTGTGTGTGTGTGTGTGTAAAATAATGTTTTCAAGCTCTCTGTTGAGGTAGGCAACCCCTGGCACATGTGCCAGAGGCCAGAGCGTGTCACACAGGCATTTTGTTTGGCACTTGCACAGCATGAAAGGGGCCAGGGCTGCGCTGTCACAACAAGGATCAGGCCCCTCATGGCTCCCCCACCATCCACCTCAGTATACCAGCCTCTTACAAGTCAAGGGTCTAGGTGTTTCTGTCACTCTGCATAAAATCATTGCTGACCCCTATTCTATGTCAATGCTGTCTGTTCCCAAGCTGAAATGATTCAGGGTAACTAATTCCCATCAAACAAAGTTCAGTAAAGTTGATCAGAAGAAATATGACAGTTTATTCTTTTTCTTTTTCCGCATTTTTAAATGTTACCCACCAAAAAACATGAATTAGGAAATGTCAATCATAGGTGAAAATATTTTGGTAACATTTGTTTCCATTTTTTAAATCTATAAATCCAGGGTGAATAATTTATGTTAGATAATTATGAAAAACAATGATACTTCAGGTTTTTGCATGTTCCTTAAAACGCTGCATATCTTAAGGGACAGATCAGTTGTTATGAAATATTATAGCTGTTTTTGGTAGTATTCAGAATAGCATCTTTATCTCATGCTATGTGCCTGTGTCTTTAGTCATCAAACATTAATATCCCACATGCATATGTACACGCACGCACGCAATGTGTTCACAAACTGAGGGTTTTAAGACAGGTACTCTTTTGCCTTGTTAACAGATTTAATAGCCATTTCATTGAATATTTTTTTAGGTTGTTTAATGAAATTATCTTTGTAGTTATACTTCTTCCCCTTTTTAATTCAGTTTCTATAGGGTGAATGAGGTCCAGCGATTTGAGTATTCACGGCCTATCCGAAAAGGAGAGAAAAACCCAGATAATGAATTTGCAGTAAAAATATTTCTTTTCTTTTTCTGTGAATGCCGGGTAGCTATTT